CTAGATCTTGTATATCCTTACCCAAGAAATTTGAGCATGTATGGAGTAACTGGATATGACTTTACAGATGATTTTGGTTATAGGTTTGGAAGTCTTAAGTGTCTTTAGAGAGATTTTGAATTACCATTAAAATCCAGACTTTTACTTCATGTCATACCATTACAAGGTATCGTATCAAATTCGAAATTATCGGCGATTCATTTAAAACGAAGGAACACATTCTTTGCGTAATTAGTTCACTAGCATGAGGTGTGGATCTATAAAGATGGCTGTTCGCATGTACGTTGTAGTTTTCGTGCATTTGGTGGTCTTTTCTACATAATTAGCATGAAGCAACGCCTGGGATTAGTAGCCATTTTGATAACGTCTTTCCTCCAACATGACCGCCAATACTTTCGTGACGTCATTGGTACACACAATTATCCCCGAGGAGAACTGTTTGGGAAAAGACGTGGATAAAATAAAAGCTAAGAAATTGCACAGTGCAGCGACACCTTCTGCTGTTGGCAAGACTTTTAAAACAGACCTGCAGCTTTCATTGAGTTCCTAAAGACAGTTGTAAACATTTGAGGCTTGGACCAAAAGCTCAGAGGCCAAAAGTGCAAAAGTATATATCGGGGTTTGAACGCTTTAGGATCAGCTCTTTTGCAACACCAGCCAAGTGACACAAGGCGGCACAATGCGAATGAATTTTTTGGAGGACAATAGTCAACTCAAAAGAGGCAAAGGACCACCAAGAAAAGGGTTAGACCCCAAAGCGAAGCAACCCCAAAATGCCCAGTTCAGGGAGAGAACCATGAAGAATTTTAGATAATCCCTTCACGTGAAGAAAAAATTAAATCAAGCACGCTATCCTGAGGACCTCAAATAATCTAAATATGTCCACTGAGGACCAAATCGGCTGAGGTCCAGTGAACGTCCATAAAGATCAGGGCGATTAACTGTACCGGCCTTCTACAGAGGAACACTTTGAAAACTTCCGACAAAAGAGCGGACGGGGCGGAGAATGTCGGCATCTTCCAACAGCATGAAAGTAGGCGAATCAACAACTGGTGGACTATGGCGAAAACTGAGTCAACTGTACACTTGAAACAACCGTCGGATTGCAAGAGAACCTACTTGGTGAGAAAACTTAGTACAGGAAATTAACTCAACACATCTTTTATTATGTTTTGGTAAATCAAACGGCTCGAGATCCCTGATTATGTTAACAGGTGTGGTGCGAATATTTACCACAAGATTGACGCGCGGATCCATAACTTTGGTGTGAAAATCTTCGCTATGAAACTTGTGACAAGTCAATTTCACGTGCATGTTAAGTAGGCCATGGCTTGGTTTATGACGATTTTAATAGAGTAAATTTTTTTCAGTTTTCCTCCTGAGTGAAAACGTGTAACGTCCTCTAGTGCGCGCGAACGATGAGCTTGCGCAAGACATCACACACACGTCACAAACGGCAAAATGGTTCTAGTTTGCAAGTTTACCATATAAACGATCAGTTGTGAACAGATTAGCTTGGCTTGAACACTGCGAAAATTCTTTCACTCTGTTCGCTTGCAGTATCAAGTTAGTTTGTTGTCTAATCTCTAGAGATTTACCATGTCTGAGATTAATAAATACTTATCAAACAGCACGGAATCACGTGGTGAAAAGTGTGGGATTAATTATCCGAATTTGCCGGAAAGCGTGCGCTTAAAAAGAAAGCCCAAAATGAAAACAGAAACAACTTTGCTGAGGAAAAGAAGGCGCACGGAAAATGAGGTGAGTTAGAATTCCTTTGACTTAAATAATGTGAAGACTTTTGAAAATACTGTGGAAAAATTTATTCATAGATTAAGAATCGTTTTGATTTTCGTTTGGGGATACAGCGGTAAAATGTGTTCTTGATTCGTTCCTTTCTGTTTTAGAGTTTTCCTTTGCATAAGAAAAGAGACTTAAAATAACAAACCAAGAAAGAAATGCAATGTTTTACCTCACAAATATATTTTAAGAATAAATGTACTCTCTGTTCACTTTTGAATTATTGCTAGTTTAAAAAAGAAATAATAACTTTTCCTTCTTTTTCATCAAAGGATTGCTTTAGCCAGCGACGGAGAAAAAGCGCTTGTAAATTCCAGAGATATCAAAAAAAAAAAAAGTATTTCAACCACTTTCCAAACAAGTTTCTGAATGAACTCGTGTTTTATTGTTTTTCCACTAAAACAAATTGAGATGTATCTGGAGCGAGTGTGACAAAGATTCTCTGAAAAAAACTCAGTAGTTACGACAGCTTTTTGTCTCTCGATTATGAGGTAAGGGGATTTCTAATACGGCTCGAACTTCAAATCGTTCCATTTACGCCATGTTATATTACAGATAGTTTTGTCCATAATTTCCTACAAAAAATTAGAGCATATTGGACCATTATATTGACTTCAAATGACCCAGTGACAAACAAATAAACAATGATACCGTTATATTCGAACCGTGCCAATAATCCTGCGTTCTGTGCTCTTCGTCTTTCTTCAGAAACCCGAGCGGGTAAATGCCGAGATGAAATTTACACCGTCAGCCGACAGCTTGTCCTCTTGGGATTCCATTTAAGAAGACAATCAAGAGAAAATTTCTGAAGTGCCAGAAGATATCAAGAAACTAGCTTCTCAAGGTAAGTTGAAATATTTTTAATTGATAGTGTCCATATCTTCGGGAATGGCCGTGATTTGGTTGAAGGCTTGCTAAAGTTGGATGTTTCCCTTCTTTTGACTTGCAGCTGAGCTCGCTGATTATGACATAGGAANTATATCAAGAAACTAGCTTCTAAAGGTAATAATTTGTCCATAGCTTCGAGAACTAACCCTAGATTTTAATATGACATTTATAGAAGTGATTTGGTTTCAGACTTTTTGATATTGTATTTTTCTTTGTTTTTGCCTTGCAGCTGAGTTCGCTGATTATGACATAGGAAAAGTCCTTGGAGCTGGTTCATTCGGTCAAGTCGTCGCTGCAACACGCAAAGCGGACAATCTGCCGGTATGTTCAGCTCTACATTCTTCCTACATTGGCCTTTAATAATTAATAAGTCATTATTATTTCATATCGTAAGAAACTTTTCTTCGTGAGTGAAAATGTAAAAGAAAGTATTTTATTCTTAACTCCTACTGGTTGTTACCTCATGCCAAAAAAATTCTGCGCGCCTAGCTTCCAGGGTCTGGACTTGTCAAACCTGTGATCGAGCGGTCTCTTTTCCTCACGGCATCTATCAGTCTTAATATTCTACACATAACGCTGATGATTGAAATAAAGCTGGAGTAAAGCTAGAAAATCTTTCATATATTTCCTCTTAGGTGGCGCTAAAGTTTGTGCAGAAAAGATCAGTCAAGGAATTTAAAAAGGTTGGTAAAATGTTAGTAAGCGTGCATACACCTAGTATTTCATGTTATCCCCGTGAGAGAGAGA